ACCCATCCCAGTCTGCTTGTCTGTCAAGCCCCCTTCCCCATCCCGCAAAAAAAAAAAAAAAGAAAAAGAAAAATTCCATCTTCCAGTGCATTAATAAAACAGAGCCTGTTCAAAGACTAAAGAGAAAACACTTTCTCACATTTGATGGTGTGGTTTCTTGTTCCTGTGGGCAGCCAAGCACAGAGCCAGACAGATTCTGGTCATATCCAGGTCTGCCCTGTGTTGGGAGTGAGGCCATGCTAAGCTTTGGGATTTCCCACCTATAAATCCAGAATAACAACGCCCAACACACTTCATCTCCAGGTGGAAATACCTGGGAATTCTTTACCCACATAGAGCCTGAAAGAATTCTCTGGGGAAGCTCCCCTTCAGACCAGGCCATCCAGACTCCTGCCTTTTGCAGAAGAGGCTGACTCCAACCACTGCCACATAAGAGTGGCACCTACCTGGCAGCCCTACCTTCTCGCTCAGGCCCACTCTCTGCCTTCCTGTCTACTTTCCTTGTTGGCTCTGCCTTTGAGCTTAGAGCCTGGGTCCCAGAGCCTTCCATCCCTCCCACCTTCACCCTCCTCTCTGCTTTCCTGTCTCCTACTTTCCCTGCCTGGCCCTCTCTGTCTCTGTCTCTGTATATGCCATCTCTCCTTAGCCTCCATTTCTCCTTTCCCTGTACCCCATCTCTACCTGCTCTTCCTATACCCCATCTCCTCCTCTTCTATCTCCTGCCCACTCCCTGTCCTTCTCCATCTCCTTTTCTTTCTGTCTTTCCTTGTCCCTTATCCCTGTCTCCCACTCTTCCTCCCTCCTTTCCCCTTATCCTCCTGTCTCTTCCCACTCATCACCTCTGCCCATCCATATAGCCCAAAGGTAGGAGAAAGTCTTGTGTATTCTCTGCTCTTCACCTACCTTGAGGATCCCTCACACAGGCCCAGCAGTCCTGCTCCCATAATTTCACAGCATCCCCATGTCAGCTTTGGGGCAAGAGAGGACCACAGTTTCTGCACCCATTATATAGATTTAAAAACTGAGGCCTAAAGGAAGAAAGGGCTCTACCTAGGGGTCAACCAAAAAGTCAAGATGCAACCCCACCTTGTACAGAGCCTGGAATTGGGCCCCCAACTCCTGTGTTTTCCAGAACATTGGTGTGAAACCAATGAGAGGTTGACAGTGTATGACAGTGTTTGGGGGTTGGATGCATGGGACTATGATTGATGTGTGACCATGCTGTGTTGGTGTGTCCCTGTGGGTTGTATGGGACTGTGGTGTAAAGTCTGTGCAATTTCATATTGGCTGTGATCATGTGGCTGTGATTATGTGCCATTATAAGGCATAATTGTGTGTGTCTGATTTATCATTTGCATATATGGCAACAGGGCACAATTAAATGACCAAGTGCCACTGTGTTGGGTGTCTGAGTTATACAAGTGGCCATGACCTGTGTATGATTAGCTTGACGTGACTATGTATGAGCCACCGGCTGGGAGAGGGTGTGCACATGCACACGTGCCTCCCACCCCCGGTGTCCCTGATTGGGTGTGGATGTGCACCTGTGTATACCTGGCTCCCTTTAGATAGCAATCACCTGTAGACACAACCTACCCCCTGTGTGCATCTTCCCCTAGGTAAGCTAATGCCCCTCACCTCCACCTTCCCAGAGCCGTCGTCCACCATCCTGAGCTGGGCCGCTAGCTCAGGCTGGCTATGCAGCATGCCCACGTCCAGTTTTACCTGAATCAATTTATCTGAAGGTGGGACAGAGGGTGTCAGTAGCATCCTCTGTCCCTGTCCCCACCCTTGCCTACTCTTTTACCATCTCACCGTTCTGTCCTGCCCTGCCCCTTCCTTACAGGCCACGCCCCTTACCCATCCCAGTCTGCTTGTCTGTCAAGCCCCCTTACCCATCCCGCCCCACCCTGCCAGCCCCTCTCCACCAGCCCAGTCATGCCTCCCAGCTTCCTGTTCCTGCCCTTCTTTGAAGACCAGGTCCGGAAAAGTTGCTGGAAGGCGGCCGACTCTGCTCCGTCGTTTACCACTTCCACGTTGGTGTAAGTTGGGTAGCCCTTGGCCCGGATGAAGCCCTGGAGCGGGGGCTCCGTCAGGCCTGCAACCTGAGGGCCCACTGCTCCCCTCCACCCCTGGGAACCTTCATTCAGGCTTCATGGACAGCCAGAGTTCTGAGATGTGTTAATTAACTGAACTCATGACCTACTTAACAGACTAACTCTGTCACTACTGAGTTATCTGAGGTCCCTGAGGGCAGGCAGGGTCCCCTTAGTCTAGGCCTCAAGAAAGGCTGGCTATGAGGGGCCCCACAGACCCGAGGCAGAGCCCTGTCTTTTTCCCCTCTCCCCCCCCCCCGCCCCAATGTAGGGCCACCTGGTCTTTCACTCTCAGTCAAGGTTTCTAGGGCAGGGCTACCTCCCCTATGATATCCCAAGATTGGGAATGTTTCCCAGCTCCAACTCCAGCATTGGGCTGTTTCCTCCCTCAGACTCCAGCGCAGAGCACCCCCTACCAAATACCAGGGATACCTCACCAATCAGATCCCAAGGCAGGGCTGTCTGCAGTTCAGACCCCAGGGCAGTGCTATGTCCCTCTCAGACAGGGCCCCAGGGTCTCACCCCAGCCCGGCTGAAGGCAGCCTTTCTGTCCTGGGGGCTGGACATTTGTCCCAGCCACACATAGATCTTGAAGCTACCCTGGTCCAGGATGTAGCAGTCCTGGGAGCAAGGGAGTCAGGAGCTGGTGAGTAGGTGGTCCAGTCTGGACTGGGGTTGTGGGGGTGGAAATGGATAAGGGTGGCTGGGGCCTTACCTCCTCCTGCAGTAGGTCCTGGGTCAGCGGCTGGGTTGCCAACTCCTGGATCACCAGGTCCTCGCCCTTCTCATAGACACTGGGGGACAGACACTCAGATGTGACCAACCAAGCGTCTCTCTGACCTGACTCCACTTCAGCCCCTTATACCACCCCTCCCACACTGAGACAGAGATGTGGGGCTTGATCCCTGAGTTGTCTTGATTTTACTGCAGCCTTGCTCTGGAGCCTTAGGCAGCTCCTTTACCCTCAAAGGGCCACAGTCCCCGTATGTACCATGGGTTTCTCAACAAGGCAACCACATACCATGCAAGAGTACAAACTTGGCCCAAGGTTCACATGGTCTGTCCCAGAAACCCACCAGCCTTTCCTGAAGGGCTTTCTGGAGATACTGTGTTACTGCAGTAATGATGAATGCAATCCTGGCCTGCCCACCCACCTTGTCCACCCCTGATTCCACTCACTGGTAGAGGCGAACATTGGCCTTCTGTATCTGGTTAATACTCTTGTTGGGTATAGCAGCACGCAGGCTGCCCACTCTGCGGCCCAGCACAGCCTCCATGATCTGCATGAGATCAGTGGCTTGGGCCTCATCATCCACCACACCAATCTGTGCGCGACCACCACGTTCCCGGTCCTGAAGCCTGTAGGTCAGGGCCAGTCCCTGTGGGAGAGGATCTGGCAGTCAGGGCTTTCCCAGCATGCCCCTCACTCCTCAGATAGCCCAGTGCAGAGCTTTCCTGTCACTGCTCAGCTCCCAGAGGCTGGAGGATGGGGAGAGGAAAGTTGGAGTTTCCTCATCCTTCCATCTGGGGGGATACCACCAGTGCAGGGTTTGAAATCATCCTGTGTATAGTAAGTGCTTCCTGGGTAGTAGCAGAGAGTCAAACCCCACATCATAGGGTGGCAGGAAGATAGGTACCTGGAGGACCACCCCCACCAAGCCCTGTACCCCCCATTTCCAGGGGCAGACACTGACCCGGGACTTCTCAGAAATGCTGGTCTTGGGCCCATTCCATTGGATCATCATCCTGCCTAGGTCTAACAGGAAGATGTCACCTTTATTAAAGCTGTTCCAGGAGAGCTCCACCTGCCAAGCCAGGGAAGGAGACAAGGTGTCACACCACCAGCACCCAGCCAGAGGGGAACATAGGAGATGTGTCACTTGTCTGCATGAAGCTATGTGCAACTGAATGTATGTGTAACTGACATTACCTGTCATAGAGTGCAGGCATGTATCTGTGGAACCATATGTGACCTTGGGTGTGGCTATGTGCATCTGTAGGTATGTGTGGCTGTGGCTAATGCTGCATTTCACAGGTGTATATGACAATGACACTCATCACTCAGTGCACATCTACAGCTGTGCATGTATACAGGTGGAGTATATGTATCTGTTTCTCTGTATTGTGTGTGTCTACATGCATGTATGTAGGAGCATGTCAGATGTGAACAGTGTGTGCTCATGATGACTGCATATGTGTGCCTATGTGGGAGACAGTGTGTGTCCTTGGACAAGGATAGTCATACAAATTGAGCCATGTTTGAGAACAAAAGGGGATACTTTAAATAATTATGCCAGGATAATAGGGGAAACCTAGGACTTCATTGAGGCTCTACATGACCAGAACGATGTGGTCACTGGGTCTGTGGGTGACAGACAGTGCCGAGCCTGTGTGGGACTATCTCTGTGTCACAGGGCTGCAACATACTGTTCAGACTATCACATGCATGACTCACGGTGGCCATTCATAGTGTAGACACTGTCCACTTGGATGCTTATTACACTAAATTCCAGCTAGGTGGCAGCAAACTGTCTTGTACTAACAAGGTCTGTATTTTCCTTTAACTCCTAACAGGTGGAAGAAAGGGGCACTCTCTTCTAATTCATGCAAGGGCACTCTAAGGGCTAGAGTAGGCCTAGGCTTCTCTATGCGTATGCATCCTTATGGCACACTCTGTGCACACACAGCGACTATGTGTATGAGAGTGTGGGGCTGTACCCCACCACATCATGTTACCTCCCATTGTGCTGCCAACATGGACCATCCACGTGTGCCATGTTGTCTGTCTCATCTGCCCAAGTTCTCAGCATGCCCATGAGACAGACAAGGAGCAGCGGCAAAAGTAGGCTAGAAGCTAGAAGTCTGGTGTCTTCTCTTCTAATTCAAAAAGGCCATCTGGGCTCAGCATCTGTAGCTCAAGCAGCTAAGGCGCCAGCCACATACACTAGAGCTGGTGGGTTCAATTCCAGCCCGGGCCTGCCAAACAACAACTACAACCAAAAAATAGCTGGGCGTTGTGGCGGAAGCCTGTAGTCCCAGCTACTTGGGAGGCTAAGGCAAGAGAATTGCTTAAGGCCAGAAGTTTTAGGTTGCTGTGAGCTGTGACGCTATGGCACTGTACCCTGGGTGATAGCTTGAGGCTCTGTCTCCAAAAACAAAGAAACAAGAAAACCCCAAAAGGCCTCTGGGAAAGCTGATAGCTCCTTGATTCCCTGCCAATTTTTGCATTTCCTTCAACACCTACTCTTAGCCATGTCCAGAGGTCGAGTCTCCCCTGGCAGCCCTCACCTCGGTGGCAGACACATGCTTCCTCCCTTGGATGTGCAGCAGTCGCTGGATGTTGTACACGTTGGTCTCCAAATGCCTCAGGTCTGAGGCTAGGCCTCCCTTCCTATAGCTGAGGAGGGAATGGAGTCCCATGTAAGAACACAGACTGTGAATGAATGGATGCAGATGTGAGCACATGCACATATGTACGTGGGGGATGTATGCCTACTGAATACAGTCACCTGAGTCTATGTGAACGTACATACAAGTGCACGGGAACACACATGAGACATGAATATGCATTTGTTTACTCTCGTGATGTGGACACACATATACATGTGTATATGTGGGGGTATAGTGTACGTCTGCTTATCCATATAAGGCTAGATGTGAATACATGGAGGCCGACACAGCATACATCAATATGTGTGTAGGTGACATGAGTAGTCACATAAGCTTATTTACAGGTGGACACATGGGAATGGTGTGTGTTTCTGCATGTGCACATAAACTTGTTCATGTAATACTGCATGTATTAGGCACAATTATATGAAATGAAAATGGCTGAATATTGGCAATTACCTATATTAAATATATGTTGCAATTATTTTAGAAAACACGTGAAGCAGTTTATGGCAAAAGACATTTCTTTCTTTCTTTCTTTTTTTTTTTTTTTTTGAGACAGAGCCTCAAGCTATCCCCCTGGGTAGAGTGCCGTGGCAGAAGCCTCAAGCTGTCCCCCTGGGTAGAGTGCAGTGGCATCACAGCTCACAGCAACTTCCAACTCCTGGGCTCAAGCGAGGCTCCTGCCTCAGCCTCCCGAGTAGCTGGGACCACAGGCGCCCGCCACAACGCCCAGCTATTTTTTGGTTGCAGCCGTCATTGTTGTTTGGCGGGCCCAGGCTGGATTCTAACCCGCCACCTTGGGTGTAGGTGGCTGGCGCCTTAGCCACTTGAGCCACAGGCGCCGAGCTGCAAAAGACATTTCTACCAGCACATAAAAGTAAATTCAAAACAAAATTAATGTTCACCCCTAGGTTCCAAGAGAAATGAAAACATTTGACATTTGTCTACATAAAAATGTGCATACAAATCTTCATAGAAGCATTATTCACAATAGCCAAAAAGTAGAATCAACCCAAGTCCGTTATGTGATGAATGGACAAATAAAATGTGGCATATCAATACAGTGCTATATTATTTAGCAGTAAAAAGTAAAGTAGTAAAACATGCTACCGCATGAATGAACCTTGAAAACGGTGTGGTAAAAGCCAGTCAGGAAAGACCACTGATAGGATTCCAGAAAGTACATTCCTGGTTGCCTGAGGCAGGGGAGGGAGTGTTGGAGGGAAATGTGGAGTGACTGATAAAAGGTGTGGGGCTTCTTTTTAGGGTGATGAAAATGTTCTAAAATTGTGGTGATCTGGTGGCACCTGTAGCTCTGAGTAGGGCGCCAGCCACATACACCCAAGTGTGGCAGGTTCGAACCTAGCTCGGGCCAGCTAAACAATGACAGCAGCAACAAAAAAAATAGCTGGGCATTGGGGCGGGTGCCTGCAGTCCCAGCTACTTGGGAGGCTGAGGCAAGAGATTTGCTTAAGCCCAAGAATTTGAGGTTGCTGTGAGCTGTGACACCACGGCATTCTGCCAAGGGTAACATAATGAGACTCTGTCTCAAAAAAAAAAAAGAAATTGTGGTGATGGTTGCATACATCTGTTAAAAGTCACTGAAACACCTCTGTATTTAAATGGGTGGATTGTGTGGTATGTGAGTTGTATCTCAATAAAGGTGTTACCTGCCCCAAGCCCCATTTAGTGGTGAGGAAGATGGTCAGTCCCAGGCTGCCATAGCCCAGGTACCACCACCTCCTCCCTGGTACTCACATGATTCCCGGGCGGAAGTAGCTGAGGAAACAGTCGGACTCGTGGCCTTGTGCTTCACGGTGCTGCACGGTCTGGCCTCTTAGCACCTCTTGCAGGCGCTGCACAAAGGCGCCCGCAGTGCCCTGAGCCTCGGCATCCGCCTCCTTCCCCACCCAGTAGTGCAGGTCACTGGACGCCCCTGGTGTTGGTGTCGGGCTCTGGGTGACCTAGGGCCCAAGTGTCTGTGTGTGGGGTGGGAAGGGGGTACACAGGACCCTGGGGTAGGGTGGGGGTCCGGGAGCCAAGGCACTAGTGAAGAGAGAGGTGGAGGCTGTAGCAAGGGCCACAAGGAGACATTAGGAACATGCTTCCACCAACAGGAGACAGCGAAGGGGGAGGGAAGGGCTAAGAATCCATAATGATGGAGCCCAGGTGGAACGTGATTCTTGGGCTCTCAACTTGCCTCCTCCCAGAGCAGAGTTTATGTCTGTTCTGTCAGTCTGGGCCATGTCACCTGTTCAGACTCCCCAGGTGACTCACATGAAGGATGATATAGCAGTGTTCCTCAAAAAAGTTCCCGTAAGCCTTCTCTGGTACTGGCACCATCTTCAGGTTCTGGGAAAGGAGAGTGCCTAGTGACAACTAGGAGAGCCCCAACCCAGGACTCGATGTGAGGTGACACTCAGTGGGGTGAGTGGAGAAGGGAGCTCGGAGAAGGGAGCTCAGCGTTGGGTGGGAGGAGCCTGGTGGCAGAGCCTCCACACTCTTCCATGTTACCAACTGTGCTGTCTGGTCATGCCTCTCACCTCAATGATCCATATGTGGAGTTCTCTGTGGCTCTCGATGGCTGGGAGGCCCTGGTCCACGTCCATCCTAGGTCAGGCAGGAATGAGGGAGGACACCATAAGGAACAAAAGCCAGCGTTCTCAGGTCGGAGGCCAACTCCTGGCCACTCTGAAATCCAAGCAAGAGCTCTTCCCACCTACAGCTCTCCAAAGCCCCTTCATCATACAACTTTCATTAAGAAGCTTTGTAAACACACAAGTGTCAGCAAGCCAGGACAATCACTACAAAGTAGCATATAGAGGCCCTGCAAACAGGGACCTCATCTGTCTGGGGGTATACTCTTAAAATGAGGCTGGTCTCTCTGGATAGGGCCAGGCTTTTTTTTTTGAGACAGAGCCTCAAGCTATCCCCCTGGGTAGAGTGCCGTGGCTTCACAGCTCACAGCAGCCTCCAACTCCTGGGCTCAAGTGAGTCTCCTGCCTCAGCCTCCCAAGTAGCTGGGACCACAGGCGCCCGCCACAACGCCCAGCTATTTTTTGGTTGCAGCCATCATTGTTGTTTGGCGGGTCTGGGCTGGATTCGAACCCACCACCTTAGGTGTATGTGGCTGGCGCCTTAGCCTCTTGAGCCACAGGCGCTGAGCCAGGGCCAGGCTTTGAAGCTCTGCAAACAGGGAGTTAGCAACTGGCTGTGCAGAAGACATAGGATCTGTAGTTTGGGACTGGCTATTGCAAACAGGAACAGCTTTCTCAGACTGAAAAAAGGGTCTCAACAGTTATAGATTATTTCAAAAGCAATGAGTTCTATAGACAGGGACCCTCTACCTGTAAAAGGACAGCCTGTGCAAACAGACAGACTCTACCTAGGGAAATTCAGATAGGATGGGCAGATACAGGCAAAGATTGTGAACACTGACAACGGCTCCATGAACAGTCACAAGCTCTGCAGATGTGGAGTTTTGCAGTCTGGGAAAGGCTCTGCAAAAGTGCATGGGGACATCCTTAAGATAGGGACTCTTTGTATAAGAAACAGACTCTGCAGGTATTTACAGGTACGTAGATAGGCAAGGCTTAGCAAACAGGCACAGCAGAGACAGGCTTTTGAAACACAGAGCTGTTCTCTAGATGTGGGCAGGCTCTGTATGCAGGATAGCCTCTGGAAACAGACTTAATTCTTGCATACAGGGAGGTGGGAACAGGCTGAGGAAATGATTATGAGCTCTGCAAAGAGATTCAGGTGTTGAAAAGACACAGACTTTGCAGTTAGGGAGAAGTTTTATGAGCCTACACAGGTTCTGTAGAGAGACAGCTCTATTAACAGTGACAGCTTCTCCAGAGAGAGACAGAATTTGCTCAAGTGAGCTGGCAGAGAAATAAGCTTTGTGTTAAAGCACAGATGCTCCAGATATGGACGAGACCTTGAAACCGGATTGGGTTCTGTGGAGAGCCCCAGGTTCTGCAAACAGGGATGGGCTTTATATAGAAGAGGGTGAGTTCTGGCAATAGGTAAAGGCTGTGTATATGTGGAAATAGGAATAGAGTGTGCAGACAGGTCTAGGCCCTGCAGAATGACACACATGCTCCCCTGACAATGATAAGCTCTTCATAGGAACAAACCCTGCAAGCAGACAGTTTCTACCAGGGAAATTCAGATAATATGTGCAAACAGGCAAACGCCCTGTCATAGATGATACATGAAGGGCTCAGGTTCTACAGGCAGAAGTTAGCTCTAAAATAGGAGAAGGCTGTACCATCAGGACTTAGTCTGGAGACAGAGACACTTATTTCAAAGGAAACAGGTTCTGCAGACAGGGACAGGTACTGTAAACAGACAAAGCTTCAGAGCTTTACAAATAGGGATAGCATCTTTAGAAAGAAAGAGGTACCCCAGACAAAGACACCAGATGAGCTCTGTAGACAGGGATAGGCTCTGTGTGCAGGGCAGCTTCTGCAATAAAAGCAAATCTTATACCCAGGGACAGATAATTTAAAGAGACCTAGAGTGTAAAAATAGACACAGGCTCAGGGCAGAAACAGGCTTTGCAAACAGGACAAAGTTTCTACAAAGCCCAGACAAACTCTGCACCCAAGGACTGTCTCTGAAGACTGAGGGCCTGCAGCAAGTGACAGGCTCAGCTGATGTGAGTGGGCTGGGCAAATCAGGCATCAGCACTCTCAAAACAGGGCTGAACTCTACACATAGAAGGCTCTGTAAGCAGCCACAGGCTCTGCAAACAGGATTTTGCTCACTTGAGTTTGTGTTGTGTGATTCTAAGTGTTTGGAAGAGGGAGAGAAACAGAATGAGAAGCATCTGGGGAAGAAGGAGGCTTCCAATTCTGTTGATTCTGGTACATCTTGGTTCACTCTCAACTTGTTGAGGCTTCCCTACACCACTCCTTCAGAAACCTGTGTATGTGTGTGTATGTGTGTGTTTGAGGTTTGCTGATCTTTCATCCTTGGAAGTTCTTTGTACATCTGACCCAAATCCTACCAGCTGCAACTTTCTTTTCTCATTGCTGTCTTGCTCAATGAACCCAGAAGTCACATCTTTGGCCCTGGTATGGTGTGAACTCCCACCTCCTCCACTCCAGCTGTGTCTTCACAGCAGGAACATGCTTAGCTCTGCTGCCCCTCCAGGGGGAACAGGTGAGACGAGAGATATAGACTTACAGGATCAGAGGCAATAGGTGTCAGGAAGTGCCTTCCCTTTGTCCAGTGCTCCATCTCGGGCCCTGGTGAACTCAGTACACTATGGGTGACATCCAAGAAAATGGCTATGGAAGTGGGGGCAGTTAGGGAGGAAGCTGTCCAGAGCTGAGTCATGTCACAGGAGGTTGTGGGGCAGGCTGGGAAGAGGGGCAGTTCTTCTAGGCCCTAGAATCTAGGGTGTTAGAGCTGCACTCACAACAGCATCCAGCTCCTCTGACACCCTATGGAAACCATGTACGGTGTTGGCTTTGGTCTCCTTCATCAGAGCAGAAGATTCCTGAAGGCAGAAGTTTGTCCTCCTGTTTACTGACAGATTCCAGTGGCCTGGTACCTGGCAGGCTGCTGAGTGAATGAGGTGGACTGTGTGAAAATGGACAGAGAAGGGAGTTGTGCATCTAACTGCACTGAGAACTGTTGAAGCAATGATGGCCTGTTGGTGAGACAATGCTGCAAGTGACAGGCAGGTACAGTGGCCATGAAATGGTCAAACAACAGAAGGCTCAGGGGACACTGAGTGACAGAAGGCTCAGGGACATTGAGTGGTGAGCACAGCAACGTGCAATGGCGACCCTGCAATAGGACACTGAGTGACAGGGCCCAGGGAGGGAACCAGGGAGGCAGCCACCAGAGATGCAGACAGACAGGATCTTGATGTGGCTTGTGGGACAGTGTAACACAGTGACAGACCCTTGGCTGGCCTCAGAACAGTGACAGCCAGGGCCCCAGGGGGGACAGGATAGTCAAACTGGCAGCCAGAAAGCCAGGACTTGGCTGGTTTCATTAGGAGGGGGCAGCATCCCCCCCGCCCAGGATGGTTGGGAGTGTGCCTAGTACCCAACTCGAGCCTGGGGAGCCAAACTCTCAGGCTGCCAGGGCCTGAGCTCCACCCCATGTCACCTGGGTTCACTGTCTTCTACCTGGGCTTTGAGGGAGGTGAGGGAAGTGAAGCTCAAAGACTATGTGTCAGATCCCCTTTCTTCCCCAGGGTACCCCATCCCCCAAAAGCCTCCTTTAACCTCTCCTTCCCTCTTTTTCCTGAGGACTCTCTTCCATTACTTTCCCAAGTGGGGCCCCTCCTATTGGAACCCCCCCTTCTACTCCTGGGGTGCACTCCCTCCACTCAGGGCCCCATTTATCTTCCACATGCCCAGTTCCTCCTTCCCTCCCTTGCATCCCTCTGTCGCCCCTCCCTCACTCTTCCCTCCTTGACTTCCCCATGCTCCCTTTTCTTCCCCTCTTCTCCCTCCTCACAGCCCTCCCTTAGTCTCTCCTTCTCTCCCCCAGGCTCCCCTCTCTCCTCCAGGTGCTCTCTTCCTTCTGCAGATACCCCTTCTCCCTCCCAGGACCCCCCCCCCTTTTCCTAGGTGCACCATCCCTCCTCTGGCTCCCCTTTCTCTCTCCCTGTATGCCCTTCCTCCTTTGGTATCTGAAGGTCCTGAGGTGACTTTGCCCAACTTCCAGGAAGGGGGGAGGTTCCCTGCATGCTTGAGGGGAGAAGGGGCACAGAAGGAGTAAGGGGCACGATGAGGGTGGGGGGCAGGCACAGTAATTCCGTGAGCAAGGGAGCTCTCCACCCATCTATAAAACCTGCTGCTTTCTTCTCCGGGGCTGCCAGCCACAGTCGTCCCGCCCCCATCAGTGTTCTCACCTGTTGGGCTACTTGCTGCCTCTCCAATTCTGCTGCAACTCTTCGACCCTGAGCCCCTGAGCCCCAGGACCCTGTGTCCACTCTACACCATCGACTTGGAAACACCTCTTCCAATCCCTTCCCCACCAGCTCTGGGAGCCCTCTCCCTGCACAGGCCTACCTGCTGGAAACTGCTCCTGAGCCTTCGCCCTTCCTGTGGGCAGAGCTAGGCCTGGCACAGGGCCAAGCTCTGCCTACAGCCCCCCTCCCCCACTGTAACTCAATCCCAGCTCCTGCCCTGTAGGACACACCCCACCACATAGCACTCAGCACTCAGCAGGCGGGGAGTTCAAACTTAGTCAATCAGTTAGTCAGTCTACAAATATTGACTGCAGTGTCTGGAATCTGGCTGCCCTGCCAGGACTATGGCTGAATCTGCCTGGCCTTACCTCCTGGGTACCACTTGCCAGAGAGAGCAGGAGATGGAGGCCCAGATGGGCTGAGAGGTGGGGTGTAGAATATACTGTGATTTCCTTCTCTGTGAGCCTAGCTGGGCCCCTGACCCCTTAACTGCTGGATGGTGGGCTCCACCTAGACCCAGAGGGCCAGGGCACTATAGCAAACTTGAGGAGGAAGAACCAGCCAGGCTGGGGCTGGCGGGCTCAGGTCAATTCAGGAGATGGTGGGAGGTGGCAGAGTGCCCTCTAGGCATCCCTGCTGTCCCTGTTCCCAAATTTGGGCTCACTGCCT